CCAAATATTACGATTCTTTTCAATTCAGTTGAAAAATAGATTTTTTCAATTTAATTTATTTTTATGAATTGAAATTATTTATTGAGATGATAACCATTTTTTATTATGTAATATAACAAAACCTACAGATAAGCAATTAAAAAATGTCACAGGTTTATTATTAATTACACATTTAAATTATGTGTTTCTTATAATGATATTATAATTAATTATAATCATAATTTACATCGTGCATTCTTCTTGAACTTTAAAAATAATGTGTGCAGACATTTTTCTGAATCATAATTTCGACACAAAAGTTCATTGGTTTAATAAGAAGATTGAATATTAATTTCATATAAATTTTTTTTTGTCTTCAAGGATTTTGAAATTTATCTATTTACTACTTCTTGTCTGATCCTATCACTAAAAATATTCGTGTTTTATTTTATACATTAAAAGTGTTTTTAAATCACTTGAAAAAAAACCTTTAAAAACCTTTTAAAAACAACACAATGTTAATCAAATGGGTGTCGTCATATTAAAACTTTTAATGTATTAAAATAAAACACTAAGATCTGTAGTGATTACTTTAGCTAAAAATTGTTTTAGTTTTTTTTTATTTTTAAATTATGATTAAGTCATTAAAAAATTTATTTAAATCATAATATTTAATATTTTTCCCCCATTAACTATTATATAATCATAGTATCTATTAAATACAATTAACTAACCTTTGTATTTCTTCATGTATTAATTCTACAACATTTTTATCAAATTTTTCTGATGTTTTTATATGGTTATAACTCCCTGTGGGCTAAACATCACAAAGAGTAATTAATTGAAATAATAATAATAATAATAATAATAACACAATTTAAATTATCAACTAAATATTATAAAATTCATTATTATATATAGATAAAAAATTATTTATTTAATATGTAAAGATAATTGGTTATTAATAAACAATAAAAAGAAAGTATTTTAAATGGTTTAGTCTATTTCTATTGTGATAAAAAGAAACGCCTTTTCTATTGTGTCAAATCCTGAGAATGTTTGACTTTGTCTTCACATGATTGCAGGGTAAATTTCTTGGCAGTTTAGAGTATTGTCGTGCGAGAATGCCAAGGGGAGGTGCTGTGGCCACGCGGAACCCCTAACTTACAATTTACGCAGACTTGACTCTACACGCACTTAGACGTTAAATAAAAATATAAACCCTCTATTTACGTGAGAATTTTATTGAAAACAAAAAAAAAATGAGTATTCGCTTTACATAGATTTAATTCTTTGAGGTTGAATTATAAATAAAAGAGAGTTTTCTCCTTTGACGCCGCGATCATGAGAGGGACGATCCTTTGATCGTCCCTGATCATTTCTTCGGGATCTTCAGCAGTTGTTGGACCCTCTTACTACTCTTTCACCCTTTGTGCATGTATTCACTTGCATCCCTCGTTTTTAAAACTCCTCATTATATCATAAATATATATGTGTACATATAGCTGGTGGCTTAATAAATAATAGTCGTTTTTCCTATTGTTGTCACGCGTAAATGTACAATATTATATGATGTTCATACTATAATTTAATCCGAGTGGATGAGTTGCTCAACTCTCGCAAATGCTGTCATATTTGCGTGGATATACAATCCGGATTGGCATTCTGTAGAATGTATAAACGTAACCATGTTTGTACAATCCGTTTGTGAGATATAAAAATTGTTTTTTTTTTATCATTTATATTATTAATACATTGCATCCATATATCTCTTCGTTTTCCTCTCTCATTCAGTATAGAATCCGCTTTTGTGGCTGGCCTCGCTGCCGTCCGCAACAGCTTTTGGTAACAACGCGGGCTTTCGCAGCCGCCCACGCCTAATTTCGGAATTGCAAAACATTTTCACACTCTTGTGAATAGCGTACACGCCACGCCTACGAATGTCCAATGCAGAGAGTGAGATAGCATGAGAAATATAGAATAGCTTTGTTCGCTCAAACACTCTCTTTCTGCGGGCAAATTGCGTCACCGCCAAAATGTGTGGCTTCAAACGAGAAACTCAGACATGTAAAGTATCCAACGAACTAGAAAAAATTTTTTTTTTTCCATTTTAATTTTTTTTTTGACCTTTTTTTTCTAGCTGTTATATACCGGAGTTATAAAATTAATCTGCCAATCGGAGAAAATGATTTATCTAATTTTATCAATTGACTTTTTTATGCAATTTTTCATTGTTAGATAAATTTATTGACTTACTATTATGGCATTTAATGAAATTACTGATTAAAATTAAGTAATTTAATAAGATTCAATCAGTTTAATCGATTAAAAAAGATATAATGGAAAGAGGATTTATCTTGAATACTTATTGAGTCTTTGATCTACTTTTTGTTGTTAAAGTTTTACAAAATTATCTAACTCTAAAAATAATTTTTTCCCCTTCATTTACATAAATGAAATAAATTTTTACTTTGAATACAAATATCAATTTATACTTCGTGCAAATGAATTAATAAAAATCACTGAGATTCCCTGTTAAGCAATAATTATTCATGAATTTATTTTTAGAGAAAAGAGTAAACTCCAAACTGTACTCAGACTTGAAGGTTTTACTTTTCTTTTTAAATCCATTTTATCAAATTAATATTAAAAAATTTGATATTATAATATTGGTGCAATAAACATGTAACATTACTAATGCAATAAACTTACTTTGCAGCAATATAACACGAAAAGAACATAAATGTTATTATTTTCTACTTAATAACATGATATTGTGATATTAAAGTTTTATACGTGTCAATTGTCGTGATGTATTGCAGCATGTCTGTAAGATGAAAATGTTTACATCATTAAACACTTTAAATGTTTTAAATTAAAACACTACGATTTGCAGTGTGGTCTGTTCATAGATGTCTGTTAAATATTTATCTGATCAGTTTCTAGACCAATCTCAGTCTATCAAGTTCCTTCATGTTTCTGACCGACTGCTAGCATCATCCTGAGTTCATCATGAAGTCACTGGTTTAGAAATATAATAAAAGTAGATAATTATTGAATAATTGCACGAGTTACTAATTGTTCACTCAAGATTACAGCAATTTTTTGGAGTCAAGTGAAGAAAAGATTGAACAAATGAAGGAAATAAATTTTATGAAATTACGTAGGAGCGAAATTCCAAACGTGGTGTTTAATTGTAAAGAGCATTATTTAAGTAAAAAGCTTCCGTTCAACATCACCCATAGAGTCTCATCGAATATGACGAATATGGTCGTCATTAAATTATTCCAGAGTATGAACCCAATGGGCGCTCTATCACGACTTTTAAAACACAACTATAAAGTTGATTTGAAAAAATTCATATATGATGTCGTACGTTGTATATAAACTAAAAACATCTGCTGAGTGATTTGCGATATAAAAAATGATCCCGTCGATTTACTGACTTGAAAGAAAAGACCAGAGATCCGTCAATAAGAACTTAATGTTGATGCTTCTGAATGCCAAAAGTCATCAGGGTGCCTCTATATCCTTCAAGGGTGAACGAGAGAGCAAATTACTTTGAGGCGTGTCCAGTAACGCGCGTAAAGGACTTCTCTCATTTCACTGACTTTAAAACGATCCTTCAAAATGCATCGAATGCAAACGTGTCGGCAAACAGACTCGGCTGGATGGAGCATAGCATTTTGTACCAACAATCTATATACATGTTCATGTACATATATATATGTATAAAGCCTGGAGCTATTTTCTCGTTTATTTTGGCCATTTGAAATGACCTCAGGGTACTGCCAATTCGGTACTGCCAATATGTCAGCAACAGAGTTCCCGTTTGGTGCCTTTGGATCCTCACTTTCAAAAATCACCAGCTTTTCTAGTCTATTCAATTCTACAAAAGCACAAAGTTATCTCTATCAGTGACATTAATTTTCGAGAAATGGCGGTCAAAAAAATAGATTGACACAGGACTAGAGAGATATCAAAGAGCAAGAGATGAAAACCAGATGAGAGAAAATAAAAGAATAAAAAAAAGCGATTTATACCATTTGGCTCGTTGGATGTCGGTTAACACAGCGGGGTTGCCGCGGACGCCTCGACGGACACATTGAAGGCGCCCGTTCGACTTGATAATCGCTAGCCATTCATACACTTTTCATTGGATTGCGATTGAGCATTAAGAAAACCAGAAGAGGGGCGCACATTAACGCCGCTCTTGCGTATTAGCATTAGGAGGCATCATCTCGAGTGTAAACACTGCATGAGATCTATGGATTTTGGTCACATTCGACACACCACAGGAAGCCTCTCTTAGTCTTTTACTTTCTCTTCCATCTCTCTTTTACTTTCTCTTATTTATATCCAGATGTTTTGCTGATTGTTGAGTTTACTAATTTGTACCACCTCTTCTGTCTTCTTTCTTACGTTATCTCTGACTGATCATGTCTACATATGTCGACTAATCTCTGTAACGCGATCACGATTATAGAGATTACTGGATCATTATTGTGAGGTGTGTTTTATATGCGATCGACAAAGAAAACAAGATAAAATAGATCTGTGGGGCGTTAAATCCCCAGGGATGATGCATCCACGTAGCCTCAATCCAGCCGTAAGTCGGTCAACTCTAGGACTCGCGTTCGCTCCCTCGATTATCCAAGCGAAATGATCGTCCTCGGGTTCTTCGAGAGATCTCCAGTCATGCCCCCCCCCTCTCCCTCTCCCTCTTATGGGTTACCCTTGTTAGTAAACCCCGGGAAATCGCTCGTGCGCGTTTCAATGAGCGAATTAACGCCTTGCTATATCTACTATAATTTTTATATAATCAGGTAGAAAAAAAGATGTGCTGTTTATATATTTTATATCTTTACATGTATTAGTGTATATATATGTAGGTGGATATTTGTTGTAAAGCTTCCGTATTAAAATAACTTTGTAAACTATCAGCTGACGATCGCCTTTCTTCATGGCAACTTCACTCTCGTGTAATAACTAACTATATTTATCACATGGTTATAACAAAGATGCCGGACCCTGAAGTGCATCCTACTGATGAAAATGTAGACGAACCCTATGATCCCTTCAATCGTCGATCTAATAAAAAATATGTCTCGTAAGTTTTTGAAAATTTATACAATCAGTTACAAAAATTTTCTTTAGATTGTTTTATATAAAAAAAAAAACAGTAATTATTTTAAAAAATTATTTTAAGTTATTTAATTCAATTAATTGTTTATGTAAGATTATATAATCTTACAATTAACCTTTTCAATTATTCAATTAGATTTTAAATTTATTTTTAATAATTCAAGTTTGTAATTATTAATGATAGACAACATAACACATCGTTTCATTACATAATCTTATTTTTTTACTGTACTTTAATATTTATTGAAATAACTAGAAGAAAAAGAGACAGATCGATTTTGTTTTGTCACAAGTTTAGAGTTTTTTTTCCACTAAGTCGAAATCCTCTTAAATCAACCCGTCAAATCTTTAGAATTCAAAGTTTAGATGCTAAAACCTATCCCACCAGTGTAATCAAGCTTGTAAATAACAATAACGTTTTACTTTGAATTTTCCAGAGAGTTTGGTTCATTTGCTAATCTGGTAAAAAGTGCAACAGGAACAGGATTATTTGCAATGCCAAGTGCTTTTGCTAATGTTGGAATGTTCTTTGGGATTGTTGGAGTATCTTTGATGGGTCTCTTAATCACAATATGTCTTAAACTCTTGATGAAAACTCATCTTAACTTGTGTGCTTCAATGAGACGATCAAAACTTTCTTATGATCAAATAGTTGCTTTCAGCGTAACCAAAGGATTTTTAAAAGATAAAATTTCAGTTGAGAGTATTGGTATGATTGTTGATACAATCATTCTCACTTGTTACATCGGAGTGGGATCTGTTTATGTTATTTTTATATCTGGAATAATTCAAGAATTGTTTGATCCAGAACTTTATATTAATCAAGCATATTATTGTATCACGTTATTTCCTTTCTTCTTTTTATTAAATTTAGTAAAAGGACTAGATGCTCTAGCACCAATTTCAATAATTGGTAACATTCTAGTAATTATTACAATTCTTATTGGTATAACATTTTCAAGTATTGATACCAATGGTAATTGGGTTTTGGTTCAACCAGAAATGAAAAAGTATCCCAAGTTCTTAGGCATTGCATTTTTTTCTTTAGTCTCTCCAGGATTGGTAAATATTAAACTCTTTTTTTCACAGCTATCATAAAATTCTCATTAATTATCTTTAATTATAGGCTTTAGCTATTCAACAAAGTATGAAAAATCCATCAAATTTTACCAAACGTTGTGGTGTTCTCAACTGGGGAATGTCTTGTCTTGTAATTCTTCACGCTCTTGTAGGAAGCATCGGATACGCTAAATGGGGCGACAGTTCTATGGGGAATTTTATCCAAAACCTTCCTCGTTTGCACCCTGTCACTATAGTTGCTTTAGTGATTCAAGCATTTGCGATTTATTTTACTTATGGTCTTCAGTGTTATTTACCGATCACTATTTTACATCATGGTTATGCGTTAAGGTCTATTGAAGATGGCTTCCTAAAGGGTTCAGCTTATTTGTGGAATATTTTATGTCGATTGGGTATCACATTAATCACATGTGAGTATAAAAGTCATGAAATGTATACTTAATCATTAAATTATCAATTATATATAATAGTGTAGATTCATTGATTCTTTTTTAGGTTCTCTAGCTGCTGCTATTCCACAACTTTATGTTTTTACTAATCTAGTTGGAGCTCTTTGTATAGCTACTTTGGGTTTTGTGATTCCAATTAGTGTTTATGCGATTAATCAAAAAGGCGATTTTGGAAAATATAAGTGGAGGCTGTTGCTTAGTATTACTGTTTTAATACTTGGATTGATTGCTATGGTGTTAGCAGTGGAAGCTAGTGTGATTGGAATTTTTTACTACATGAATCATTGATAGATTTCATATTCTACTAGCACTTTTTATTAATTATACACAATTTAGATTATTACATTTGTCCAGAAGAATTATAATCTATTAGAATGGTTTAAATTTAATTAGCATAAAAGAATTGATGAGTTTACAAAAAATCATAATATGTGTATAATAATATCAACAATATACTTACATTTCAACACAAATTAGATCATTTTCTTCCTCAGCAACAATGAGGTACAATTATTTTTCTACAAGTTGAGACATAATTCTTAAAATGCTAGCTTCTTGATGTCTAAAATTAATTAAAAGAGATGATGACTGAAATTCCTAGCAATTAATTTCATCAGATTCTTCAGTGTTGATATGTAAACTTATATCTATCTTTATTCATAGATCAAGATTTTGCAAACCAGTTATTAGATGTACGAATGAGGTTTTGACTCATAAATTACTCTATTCTATATACACTTTTATAAACTAAAACAATGACCATTTACTGATCTCTAGGGTCAAGTCTATCACTCATTGAATCAGCAGTAAAAATGGTAATAAAAAAGAACGAATAAATATTGATATTTATTCAATTCTATAAAAACAGTAAAATTATTTAGATCAATTTGAAAAGTTGTCTCTGAAAATGTTTTTGTGCTGATTGATTGTAATATACAATAGTTTTTTCTAATTATCAGATATATTTCTAGTTTTTTATTCTCTTATTTATTTAAGTTGTATAGAAATTTGATGAGTAATTTTATTGTGATGTATTATGAATACAATAACATTAATTCATTGAATAGATATTACAATAAAATCAATAACGAATATATTTAGCAAATGTAAATAAAATAAATATAAAGAGCTTGAGTAGAATCAACGTAGGATAAGTAAAACAAATTAAGGTATAGTGTCAAAGAAGGATATTAGTTGAGTGGTTTACTACGCATAAAGTAGTTGTAACAAAGAAAGGAGGAAAAGGCGACGAAGGTTGCTTTCATCATCAGGGAAGAGCGGACGACCCTTTTTAGTGGCTACCTTTCTGCTCCCATCTTCTCTAGAGTTACTGCTGCCTGTTCATCCGTTTGCCAGTTCAAGGTGGCTGCGTTCATTAACGGAGAACGACAAGGGAATGGGCAAAACGACCTTCTTGCCTTGTGCTGTACTAGACTCGCGGCATCCCTTCGGTTCATAATTATTTCCATAAACCTCGCATTTATTTTTTTTCACTTTTTGTTGCTTCTTTCCACACGAATAAGGAATAAAAGTGAAATTTAGTTAAACGATTTCCTACGAAGAATAGACATTGAGTGAGATGTAGGTCATTTGAACATTAATTACTTGTCTATAATTTTTCTCAGTATTTTTTTTATTGGAAAAATTAATGCACGCACTGTAATATAAATTTCCATGAAATATTATTTATTTATATTCCAAACAAATAAGATACTTTACATTAACAGTTGAAACCACTGTACTAATACATGTAATGGAGTATGTACATTGTAAATCTCAGTTTTTCAAAATGCATTATTTTAATACGGATAAATATGACGTCACCCATTTGATTAACATTGTAGTCAATTTTTACACACTTAGATCTGCGTTAAAAGTGACTACAATGTTAATCAAATGGGTGACGTCATATTTAACACACTTATCCGTATTAAAATAAAACATTTTGGAAAACTGAGATTTACAGTGTACTTTATTCTAATTTATCTCTGCTGTATATCTCAAAAACTATTAGTTTTACGTTAATTTTATATAGGAATTTTTGTACATAATGAGGTGAAAATTAATTTATAATAAATTCAATTGATTTAAAACCAAAAGTTTAAGAAATATTGGCGGAAAATTCATTTTCGTTACCTTTGACTGTTAAAACATTTTTTAATGCTCGCGATGTTATAGTTCACTTTTTATTGTATTTTCAAAATCAAAACAATTCTATTACAAAATTTTCAGCAGGATTTTTTCCGAGCTGAGATTTTTTTATATTATTTTACTGAGGTATACATTCCTCAGTAAAATTTATATTTTTCCTGTTACTTTTTATCTTGAAATATTTATTTATCAACAATCTCTTGACGATTAGGGTATGATATAATGAAAAATAACAATGTGTTTCTGTTTTTAGAATTTGGTTATTAAAAATTCAACTTAGAAAAAGACTAATTTATTTTTTTTTTATCATCAATTAATGTCCGTCTTATTACAAATTGTAAAATAATTTTAGCACAATCATTTTTTTATATAAATAATTCACCATTTAATTTTTTTTTAAAATATGATTATTATAATTTATAAATGATAAATTGGAAGTTATAATTAGGGAAAGTGAAAAAATAAGAAATATATAATATTGTATAGTTTACCTGCATGAACTCTATAAAAATGAAAGGTACGATGGACACGTGGCTCAATTTCTATTGATATGAAGAACTATTCCCCATGATGAAACTTTTTTGCGACTAATTGGAATGAAGTAAAGTATGTATCCGTATGGTGTCATCGTGTGGACAAGGGATTAGCCCTTGGTTGAGCACACGTGCGCTTAAACGTTCACTAATTGCTGTAGACTGTACTTGCTTTTTTCTACTCTTTTTCAATGTGTCACTCGAGTGCTGATTGTCTCTGAAAATGTACTCAAGTTTTCTGAAGTGTAAAAATTTACTTTTGAAATTAAACTAAGTCGTGTTAACAAAAGCAGAGATCGATTTCGATTTTCTTGTTACACTGAAGTAAAAGGGGAACTCAAAGTGTGGATAAGTACATATTAACTGTAGAGATAAAGTATATAACTACACTATGGTATATAAGGAAGGGTTTCCGTGGCTTTTCTTCGAGCAGGCGTCATCTTCTTAACCTCCTCCACACTATTTGCTTCGTTTTCCTTATCTTAACTCTGCAAGACTGCTTTTGGTAATACCTTTTGGCGTAAAATGATCATCCCTTACGTGAACAAGAATTCCCGTGAAATATCATCGTGCACCATTCTATATACTAGCGAAAATTTCGATAATCGATTGAAAAGAAAGAAAAAAATTTGATATTTTTTCTTGGAAAAAAAAAAATTATCTTTTACCCTCATGAGGGGACAAAATGTCTTTAGAGGGTGACTTGTACGTCAAGGGGAGCTAGTATTCTAGAATTATGTCGCATTTAAATTTAGGCGAGAGAATACAACGCTTCATTATACGCGACACTTCATACGCTTCGTTTGTCGCCGGAAGCTGGAACTCACGAGAGGGATTGACAAGTCTCTTAAATACGAAGGGTGAATTTACTCTGAGAATTAATTCCATAATTACATAAATAAACAGAGCAATGATAAATATATTCAGTTAAATCATCTATAGCAATTGAAAAATATCACATGTATCTACACATGTACATATTGTTAAATACTTGTATTTATTCATTTTACAACACTTGATGAATTCATAAACATCATTTTATCATTCAGACTCGTTATGGCTGAACATCAATTGTGTCTGTTAATTCATTTTTTTTTTAGCTTTAATAATTGCTCATTTATTTTAATAATCTTGAAATAATTATATTTTTAAAGAATTACAATAGATATACAATGCAAAAAATTGCAAATACATTTGAGAATCAAATTATTAATAATTTTAATTAGAAGGAATTAAAAAATTTAATTTTAATGAAGTTTATATCAAAAACTTTATTCAAAAAAATTTTTTTGTAATTCTAGTGACAGAACATTAAGTATTTAAATCAAATTTGATTTATTTTTAACATTATAATATGCAATGATATATTTTTAATACTCTTTTTTATATTATGATTGACTAAAAATATTGTTCTTCATCGTGTTAGGCTTGGAAAGAGATTTCTAGTGGATAAAATGTACTTTGTTTTCTCAATACAAAATATGCTAGAATTCATAACATAATATTAAATAAAATCTATTGTGTAATTACTTTTATTGTTAGTGCTATCTGTTTAAAAAAGTTTCATCCACTATGTTCTGTCGACTACATCAACTTAATATTTATACTTGTTTAATTATTTACGTTTTTTTCAAGATTATAAAATATAGATTTAAAAAGTTCAAAAAAAGACTTATTATTTTAAAAAGATAAATTAAAAATGAAGAATATCCAAGTTGAGATGATTGTTAATATCATCAACAATTATTAGACAAGACAACCATAGAAGGGTTTATTGTAAATTTAGTATCTTATCCACTTACACTTACAACAGTTGTAGATTTACCTGAAAATTGAGCTTAGTTCAGTCTGAAGTTGGGCTGGTCAAATTTTGACTTAAATCACGTCTAGGTTTACCTTAAGGAAATTGGAGTGTTTCTATAATTAAATTGAAAACTACGTTAATTCAATAAAATCTTTAAGAAATATTTATGATTACAATTAAAAATAGTGTGGTGATTTTGAAGACATTTTGAAATAATTGAAGTAAATTTTTATTCCTAGACTTTTATAGAGATCACGTAATTTTTTTTGGTATAATAACTTAGTTTTGATCAAAAATCCCATGATCTCCATAAAAGCCTATGCATAATAATTTACTTCAATTGCTAATAACGAAAAAACAGTGCGATAAAATGATTTTAAAATTACCACTCTATTTTTAATCGTACTAATGAATATTTCTTCAAAATTTTATTGAATCAATTTGGCTCCTAATTTAAATATAGACATGCTCGAACCTCCTTAAATTGTACAGTATTTTTTGAATTACTATATACCATCTACACCACTTCATAGCTATCTTTTATCTCTATTGAGGTGTGTTAAAAAAATATTTCAAATAGTCACAAGTAAAATTTGGTTCATCATGAAAAGTGAAATAAATATTTATCGTTATTGAATTATTCTTGTTATCAGTAAATTAAATGCTAATTACCTTTTAGAAAGTTGTTGATTAAGATATCGGTCGTTGAAGTTAATTTTTATATGAAAGCATTCATGGCAATCGTCTGATTTTTACTAAAACTGGAGTACTTACTTAGGTGGTAATATCATTTCAAGTCC